TGAAACGATTGGTCAGAAACGAATCATTGAGAACAGATCATTTACACTCGGACCTGCCCCACGAGCTGCCACATCATTTTCGTATCATCCCAAGTGGCGGGGACTATTCCGTTTAAAGTAAATAATCATGAATTGGGACTGCGGGCTACGACCTCCAAAATGATCATAAAATAAACAGACAAAGTAATAAGCACTTCCAACACTCATATGTGACGCCAGGAATTACGTGTGTCTTAAAGATGATAATTCGTTTGACAACACAAAGAATTATCCAACAAAAGGTCTACTTGAAAATACTAGATGGACCACCTTGATGAACATCTTAAACAAGGAAAACTCGACTGAGAGACCATCTCCTTGGACGATTAAATGTCGTACTGACATCGTACAGAATAAGACTTGTTCACGGAAAATCTCATCTAGCGACCACTACGAATCGCCAAAGAATATTACAACCAGAATACCAATTGTAAATCAAGCTAGTTTCGTCAGCAAATGACCATCCAGCCAAAAGTCATCACCAGACCAGTGAAGCCTAAACCACTAGACATCTGATGGATCACCAGACCAGTGAAGCCTAAACCACTAGACATCTGATGGAGGACCCCCGAGAAAACTATCAAAATATACGTCACATGATAAACTGGCAAAATGACCTATACACATGGCGACTCATTAACGAACAGTACATATCAGACTACCTGGCGTTTGCTATTTACATTGAGACAGAAACCGCCAAAGTCAGACCCAAACAAGCAATAGAATAGGAAAACTAGCAAACTCTGACACGAAACTACAACACACTCGCGGATAATATATTTCGTGATTGAAGTTAAAAGCGAATATATTATCCTAAACACGAACAGCGAGCAGTTGTAAAAATAACATGCCAAAATTCACATAGAAAGCCTCTTCACAAAAGCTATAAGAGGCGCGTTATGATAAACGTAAACGACCAGCGGTAAAAGTAAACAAGATGTACTGTATTATCGCTGTCAAAATTTCATTCATTGGTCAATTAAATTTAGATCACCAGCCAATCAGATTTGTTTATGCGAACAAGTACAAACCAATAAGAATGTGCAAATTTTTATCTACAGGAATAATCCTAACAGAGAAATTAGTATTGTTATCATTTGTAAATAGGATAGATGAAGAAGGTATATAAGAGGTCAAATTTCAAAGAGGCATGAGTTTAGAGTTTGTGTAGAGGTATGACTGTACAAGGATAAAAATGCTAGAGCTAGTCTCACAAGAAATGGAACACGCGATCAAAATTTTCTCCGTCAATATTAATCTAAACAAAATCACAAGTAGTCCGCCATAATTTGTGTGTATGCTATTTATTATTTATACTTATCGCTGTGTATAATGACACTATTGCAAACACAATTTTACTGAATCAATAAAATATTTTGTGTTAGATCAACCCTTTGGTCAATTCCAAATTGTTTTGTTCGATTATCTAAAATAATTTTTGAGAATTGATCTGGTATTCGTGTTGATTCTAATCGTAAATGGTATCATTGCTAGAAGTATTCGATGAATTCGGTTACTGATACAGCTTTCAGAGGTAAAGGGTAATCAATCAAAAGGAAAATAGGCTTCATCGTATATAATAGCTTTAAAATATGCACTGAATAAGACAAATAAAAATTAAATTACATATTGAAATTTTAAGCATAGAAATTTGCCCTATCGTAAGTTTGAATCCCGAGAGTTTCGTTAATTCAGCAACTGTTTAATCAATATAATTTACACGAGTTTTCTAAAGGTTTCATCTAAAGTAATCTCGGGAAACCTTCAGAGAGCATACGAGTTTTTTATAACCTGATTTTTTTATCTTTTTGATATGAAAAAGGATTGTCCGAGAATTCTCCCTTAGCTAAAAATAAATTTCTTCATCTGTCGAAGTAAACTTTGTCGTAATATTAATATTTAGCCAGGCCGAATTTCACAATATTTGGGTCTTGTGGCCCTACGAATATGTACTTATTGTAATTAGTATTAAACAACATAAAATAATTAAATTTACATTTCAATATCTAAATCTTCTATTCATAAGTCAATTTTTGTATCAACTTTTACATGCCGAATTAGTCTGGGTATTTAACTACGTGCTCAAAATCACATGTCTAAATTTATGACACTGGAGTATTACCAAAGATACTTTGCAAGGTCAAAGTAAACATGTGAAAGGAAACAGTGTAAAAGAAACTTTGCTATCATTCTTTCCGATCCCACTTCTAAAGGATTTGGTACTGAGCAGACAAGTAGATGTATTATTGTGCAGATAAAATTGCAGCTAGTATATGAAATTCTTCTATACCAAGTACATCTAAAATATCTAATATAATTATTGATTAACTAAGAAAACAAAATCCTTGCTCTGTTTTATCTGACACAACAGAAAACCTGAATTCACAACAAATTAAAATATTAAAAATAGACTAAACAAAATAATTACAGTTTCGCAAATTAACCCGTTCCGGATTCACTGGATGTATCATTGCTTGGTTTTTGTTGTCAATCGTTTTTCAATTCCTTTTAAGAAATAATAAATCCTATGAGTTATAATAATTGATCAAAGTTAGTTATCAGCCTGTTTTACTTCAAAAGATGAAGCATTTTTATCTTCACTTCCTTAACTGGTTTCCGGAATCCCTTAACGAGTCCCTGAGAAATTTTTAAGTTTATCATGTCTTTTTTTATTATTAAACAAAAGTTTGGAAAATGACGAAGCTGTAGGAGACGCCATGGAAGATTCAATTTTCGATACATAGACTTTTTGTAGTCGCGTTCTAGGATGTGATTTCACTTTGGCCTTTTCGTTTTTTGGTGCTTTTATATCGTCGGATGAGTTCGCAGGTAGCCGCAAGACGACGCTCACGAGACAGTATAGAGTATGATTGTGTTGTTGTCCGTTGAGAGCATTTCTGTGTGTATGCGTTTAATGGAACCGAACGAATATTTATCAAGGCGATATCGACAGATAACGATATGGTTTTTATTTGTGTATTAGTTTGTATAATTTCTGCCAAAATCGGGTTAGTTACATTTGTAAATCATTTTTTAAAAAAATTGTCATTTTTTTTTGCACACCACTGTATAGTGCGTACATCTAGAGGGTAGAAAGTCAAATACGGTTCTATTTACATAAGTTAGTTCGAATAACATGAATTTTGATCCCAAATTAAAGATATTTGTAAGAAATACTATCTGTTTTAACTTAACATTTTGCCCGAAGCTATATCGGTATACTGTAATTGATTATACTAGGTAAAATACTATCACTATTGTCTTGATTCAATAACGAAATCTCTCCCCTTTTATTTGATTCTTCCGACATGTTTTTAATAAGACATTTAAAAAATCTAGTTTTGAAAAATCAAAATACATGTATATACGATGAACCTCCATAATTGTTGACAAAAAAAAACTTACCGTTACGTTGCATTTGGATGATCAATTGAACTTTCTACTCTACATATATCACTTGGGTCCTGTAATTTTCGAAATCTGGGTCGGTCCACAGAACTAAGCAGTGTAATTAATTGAACAATTTAATGTGTGCTATCCATAAAAAGCAATTTCATTATTTGTTATGCATTTCACGAAGGTTTGGAAGCATGGGGAACTGATACCGGGATTAATATTTAAAGTTGGCGATTTAATCGAAAGTCTTTTGATTATGCGGTGACGAATCCAGCATATCTTTATGGAAATATTAAAAGAATGGAGGGATATTTCAAGAAAATGCAAGAGTATTTGGAAGAATTAAGTTCAGATTTTGTTTTGGATTTGAACGCTTGGATTTATCACATTGCATCGAATGTTATTTTTTCATTCATGGATAAATATTTCAATGCTCTTTCTACCGGAAAGAAAATCAATATTGAAGATTCGCATATTACTGAGAAAATATTCAAAGGATTTGAGAATGCATTTAAAGCGATATTTTTCTTAATTACGACACACGACGTTCAATTTATAGGAAGCAAAATAAGGCGCATCTTAAAACACAGGATCAATTAAGAAAGTTATTGTGTGATAACGAAGAAAAGAAATAGAAAATACGCAAATTGAACGAACCATTGAACCATGTACGTGTATATACAATGCGCGACATTACACATAATACCGATACGAATTATTTGTATAAACCTTGACTGATGAGTTTATTCGAATTCTTTATAGTTAAATTTTTTGCGAAATTTCTTAACGTTAACTTATTATTATTCTTTGTTAAAAAAAACAGTATCGCTGCCTTCGTATTTGTTGTTGTTGAATATGTCGGTAAATATCCGGAAGTAGAAGGAAAATTTAGAGCAGATTTTTTTGGATAATCCGAATCGCGTTATCACCTACGGTAATTTGAAAAGTAAGTCATTTCAATATTGTTTTTACTATTTTATATAGCAATATTATAGTAACAAAAATTTTCAGCAACTCGTATAAACACAACAGTGCATTTATGTTCTGCGCAAATCAACGTGAAAATGTAACGGTAATAGCCGGTTATCGATATACGATTCGTGGCGAATTACCAAGCACCTTATCGCAACGAAAAAAACACTACCGATCCCGAAAAACTTTACCAGAAAGATTTATCAATTACGGCAATGACGAAGAGGGTACTTTCAAAAAAAGTGTTTTATGGGGGGTGGACTACACATTTGTCCCGTGAGAAATATCGTCTTGCTTATGTGAAGATGGTTTAGTTGTATCGTAATTATGAGGTTAAGTTGGTTAATGCGGATAAGCCGAACTTGCCATGATTTTATTATTCAATGTGCTGACACGAGGGTTTATTTGAAGCCTAGGATAAATTAGCTTGTTTATTTATTTGTTGAAATTTTTTTAACCAATAGGATTGGGTTATATGCAAGTTTCCGATCCAAACTAACCTTAATACGTGCCTCAATAGCGATAGATGAGTTGTTAACGTTAATATTAACGATCTTTTTATTAACGTTAACGTTAAATATTACCGTTACGAGATTTTAAACTTTAGCGTTAGCAATTATCAAAATGTCAAACCTTGTATCAGTGTTAGCTTCATTGAACTTGATAGATTTCTTCAATATTCTTTTTATTCTGTTGATTTTCTATGTTGTTCGATTCTACATTGTTTACTTTACACGTGAAAATCCTCTTCCAGGACCATTTCCTTTACCCATCATCGGGAGTTTATACCAATTAGCATTACAAGATGGAATGGAGCATTGGTTATTACAGCTTCATAAGAAATACGGAGACATATTTGAAATTTGGTTCGGTCCAACACGTAAAATATTTCTAAGCAAATCGGAACTAATTGAAAAATTTGCAATGAAATCAACACAGAGCAATTTTCTTGTACGATTTATCATTGGCTCGAATAAAGGATTAGACTACTACGCTAATCCACGGAGGGGAATGTTTTTTAATGGAAATATTCCACATTGGAGATCAACTCGTAAAGTGATTGATAATCTATTATTGTCACCAAGTTTTCAGCGCGAGGCTTTAAAAACATCTCAAATTTATTTCGCGGAGATGGAAGAATATTGGAAACTACTTGGATATGATAACGCATTACTTTTATCCAAATGGGCAAATAAGTTTTTAACGGATTTAATGTACGACTTGAATATTGGAAGACGCTGCTATTTTATGGTGCAGTATTTCAATTCCCTTATAAATTCGGGAAAGAAGGAAGTATCGGCAGAAGAATTGAAGTTTTGTGATGATCACACAAAAGGAATCTCAATTATAGGAGAGGCGCTCACATTCTTTTTTTTTTCACCCGAATTGGTATGGCGGTATATTTTCGCTCACAGAACAAAACGATATATTCAATCTCGTGAGACTTGGCATAGATGCTACGAGAAACTTATTCGTCAACGTCTTGATCAACGAGCACAAAGTGGTTATGACTCTAAATTAAAGCCAGATATGTTGAATCTTCTACTTGATTCGAAAGAAGAGCCTGTATTGAATAAAAATGGCGAGGATGATTATCGCATGGATGATGATGATGTTCGGGACTCCTTAGAAGAGGTTATGAATGGCTCCGCTACGGTAAGGTTTTAACATTGGATTTTATTAATAATTCTTTTAATTGATATATTATTGTAATTGAAATTACAGACATCTGGTGTTTTCGGATATATTATAGAATATATTGAACGAAATCCCCGAGTTAAAGAACAAGTCGAAAAAGAATTTCGAGATTTTGCAGTTTCAAAAACCAATACAATAAATATTGAAGAACTTGCACAATTTAAATATATCGAAGCGGTAATCTGGGAAGGTAAGAATTTTACATTGTTTTATTCATAAACTTGAAGGAAGTTTCACAAATTTTTTGTCAATCCAAATAGTTCTTCGCGTAAGATCCGTATTTATGCTCGAAAGAACAAATACCCAAGAAGAAACAATCGCCGGATACAAATGGAAAACAGGCACCAGATTTGGTATCAATATTCAACCAATCCATTTCAATCCGAATATCTGGCAAGATCCCAACGAATTTAGACCAGAAAGATTCCTGAACAAGGAAACTAAAGATACAACTACTTATCTCCCTTTTGGTATGGGATTGCGAGCATGCCCTGGACGATCCATAGCAATAATTATCTTGAAAACGATGACGGTTTTGTTATATCGCAAGTATAATGTGCAGCTACTTGATATTGACTTGCCCATAAAATATCAAAATATTTTCAGTAATGATTGCCTTGGAGCTAGGGTTAAATTAACACCAAAGGAAGAGTAAACAAAATTTTATGATATTATGATATTATGATATTATATATATTTTATGATATTATATATTAGACAATAAATATGAATAGCGATAGTGATTGTTGGTGGTTGTGGATTTTATATACGTATGAAATATCGATATTGTACGTGTTGTTGCGGTGATTGCGATGCCGTTTGTTGGATTTGGTTGATTTCTATTACATGTTTCCAAAAACTTAGCATCGACCACATAATTGCTTAAAAAGAACTCAAGTGCACCAATTTACGTATTCCTTTAACTGTCGAACCTGTGTAATTTGCTGTTTTTGACCTATTGTTACACTCGTAACTAGGGATGGGACCCAAATCTCATGGCAAATTGACACTTACGGCAGTTTGGGATACAGTTTAACATTTTTGGCAAAATCCCAATATGCCGACGAATCCCAAACTGCTTGTCAAACTAAGTGTAAAATCCCAAACGTCTGGCTAAATCCCAAAGCTTTGGCAAAAAATTGTTGCATGGCTTTATTAAATTAAGAATTCTGACGCGTTTCAAATGAAATGCAATTTATTTCTAGGAAAAATTTCCTATAATTTTGCCCTCTGACCGGAGAATGAAATTTGGGATTGGGAAGCGAAACTACATTACATATCTAAAATTAGTGCTCCAATCGGGTCGGATCGGGATCAAACCCGACCCGAAATATTTCGGGTCAGCCTAAAAATCGTTCAATATTAATCCAAATTTGTGAATATATACACAATTACATTCCGAACAACTCTACTTAAGACACAGAATACAAGTGTATCTATTTTACGATTTACCCGAACCGAAATTATCGATTTGTGTCGACCTCAAACTCGACCTGAACAGAGCTTTATCTAAAATTGCTTTCTAACATTTTTATCAGTACTTTAAGCGAGTTTTTGATATAGTTTTTCATATTTTCAGTTTTTAATATTGTTTTTCATATTTTTTATTTTCTTGTATCAGATTTGTTTTGCTAAATTAATCAAAACTTTGTGAATTATAGAAGAAAATTTTCATGTTCTCATTGGTTTATAAACACATGAGAGTGACTTTCTGGAAAAGTTGTCTAATATTTTATTAATCAATAATTTAGTAGCATATAATATGATCATAGAAAAGAGTAAAAAATAAAAATCATGTAATTTATAGCATTTAGTAAAATGTATTCATAATAAAAAAATTATTCGTAGCTTTCAGGATAATCTGTGTTAATTTCCTTTTTTTTTGAAAAGATATTATGTGAGTAAAGTTATAATAATATCCAAGATGTCTTTATAATGAGGAATAGTTCTAAAAAATAATTTGGTTAAATTTTTTTCTTGAAATATAAATTTGTGTAATTACCATTTTGGCATTATAAAGAGTTCTGATTGGTCAGATTTATTATTATGTATATGATGAGTATCGGTATGTAAAACGGTGATGCATAATACATGTACATGTATGCATAACGATAACATGTCTGAAACAGTTAAGGTATTAGTGTACAATTTAACTCGAGAACAAATTGACTAGTCAAATTTGGGTTAGTAAAAATGAATAAAAAGTTTAATTTAACGAGCGATAAAATTAATATCAGCATTGATGACGACGAGATTTTTGATATGGTAACGGTAAAGTTTATTTTAAACAATTTTTATCTAAAAACAACTAATTTTTTTTTTATCTTAGGAAAACCACGCAACATCGAGTAAAACGAATAAATTGCATTATCCATCGGATACTGACGGAATTTCAGAGGAATTTTCAAAGCTTTTAGAAAACTTGACAGAACCCAAAAATCTCTTAAAATTAAAAGAAATTGCTGAAGCCCCCAAAACAACACTCCCATCTAGACTTTTGATTGATGCTTTAGATGCTTTAAGCGATCCGACACCATTCACTAGTCATTATGAAAGGAAAACGATATGTATGCTAGAGCTGCATCTTCGAACATGGATTGCAGTTCTAGAAGCAGTAATTCACGCTGAAATTCGGTTATCAAGAAACACTCGCGAAAGAGTGTACTCTCAATTATCCGAATTTGCAAAAATCCACAATAAGGCAGCAGAAATATTCAAAGATGGTGTTGGAAATATATTTAAGCCAAAGTTTTCTGAATTTAATCCTGAGATGAAAGAAGGATTATCCCACTTTCGCAACATGAATATCGATTTTCTTCTTATATGCATTCGCGACACTTTGCATGTAATGAATGATGATGAATCGACGACTTCTGAAATTTGGCGTCGTACTAAAGCTTTACTATCTCAACTTTTTTCATTTGGCAAAT